CGGATGGCATAATGGGTTTTGGTGTTGGCAATAAGCTCCACTCGGGGGTCCAAACACCACTTGTCATTGCCCGCGTAAAGAATACTGCTGCGGTTCAGCCAAGCTACCCGCGTCACTCGATTATCCACAATGCATCTGAAAAAGAAAGAAGGAGAGAGAGGGAGGCAGGGATTAGAATCTGTAAAGGAGTCTTCTAAAGATAGCCTGATTCCCAAGCTTTCCATCCCTTTTCTCCCCTTTCCTCATGTCGAAGTTCTGAGGTGAGCAACAGTTACCCAAAAGAACATAGACCAGCATTTTAGCTAGATCTAATGGCCGCATTCAAGATAAAGGTAATCCTCGAATTAAGATCACAATTGGGCGAGGTATTTTTTTTTTCCACATTGTGTTTTTACTGCTTCTAAGCCATCTAGAGTCACTGTGAATGAGTAGGCGGCAATATAAATTTAATAAACAAACAAATGAATGTGGTGGTCCCATCAGCCAAGGGACATCAGCTGGTGGGAACCAGGAGACCATAGTCCCCGCCTTCTAGAACATTCTACATTTAGGTAACAGAATGATCCAACCCTGTTGTCCTTTCACGAGGCTGTGAGGACTTGGTTGTGCATTGGGGTCTGCGGCCCTGAATATGTTTAGGGCCTGGTTTCTTGGTTGTATTAACATCCATAGTAACAGCTTTATTTGGTACCCTATTTTGTACTGTTTTAATTGTCCTTAAATTATTTTTATGTATTACTAGCTGTATCCAGCCACGCGTTGCTGTGGCTCAGTCTGGTAAAAGTGTGTGTTGCTTTTACGTCCAACAGATGGTGCTGTTTTTTAAAAAAAGCATGTTTTACCTGTCACAGGTGTGACATCTATATAATATAGGTATATAAAAACACGCACGTATTCGAATGCAATGTTGTGTCAAAATTTCAAAGCAATCAGTGAAGAACTTTCAGAGATTTAAGATTTTGAACAAACCAACATTTACATTTTTATTTATATAGTTAGATGATGATGATGTAACAACACCCGGAGTCACCTGTTGACATGGGCGACTACAGAAATCAAACCAAAATAAACAAAATGAACTGTATCACTGAATTGGCAGCCTGTTGATCCTTTTACAATTTTTCACCTTGCCACGTTGCATATGACACACGTGCCTGGTGGGGAGGAGAGTTTAACAGGATGAGTTTTGCTGGACCCTTCCCAACTGTGTCATCGAAGAGGTAGGAGGAGTAGGCCGTGCAGAAAAATATAAAGAAAAGAAAAGGCACCTTGGCTGCTTTCACCTATTTTCAATTAGCTCTGACTTCCTCAAACACTGAGATGTTTCCATGCCATATACTCAAATTAGCTCGAGCTCACAGTTCCACCCACATACCTCGGGGAGAAATGTCATTGAACCTTGTGGGTTGTGTGTCACAATCCTCAACTGATGCATAAGTAAAAGTGGAAATCACTTCCCCAGAATGCTGCAAAGACAGTTTCCAACCACTCAGCATTAACCTGTATATTGCACTGACTACAACATTAAATCCAGCCAATTATTTAGACCAGGGGTAGGCAACCTTGGCTCTTTTATGACTCGTGGACTTCAACTCCCAGAATTCCTGAGCCAGCCATGCTGAGAGGAAAGGGAGAGGTTTCCAAGCTGAGCCATGCTGGCTCAGGAATTCTGGGAGTTGAAGTCCGTGAGTCATAAAAGAGCCAAGGTTGCCCACCCCTGACCTGTACTATCTCTTCAGATTTGGGCCTAATTCTAGGTTTGTCTCTGTGAAGGGCATTTCAAGTTTCATTTACAGTCTGCAGTAGTTATCAAATTAAATATAGATCTAGGATGTTGGTTTAAAAAAAGGGGGGCAAGTATGTAAGTATTTGGGGTTTTCTAGTCCAACCCTCTGCTCAAAATGGAGACCCTATAGCAGGGCTCTTCAAATTTGGCCCTTTTATGACTTGTCGACTTCAACTCCCAGAATTCCTCAGCTAGGCATGCTGGCTGAGGAATTCTGGGAGTTGAAGTCCACGAGTCATAAAAGAGCCAAGGTTGCCTACCCCCGACTTAGACTATCATTATAACCAGTGGTGGGATTCAGCCGGTTCGCACCACTTTGGTAGAACCGGTAGCTTATTTTTTATTGCCCAGGCCCAGAATGGACTTCCGGAAGTGGCATCCACACATATTTAAATCCCACCACTGGTTATAACGCTTCCCGACTCAGCTTTTCACGGCTGTTACCAAGAGTTTAGTTAGACTAAATATTTGTGTTGTGTTTTTCTTTTTTTTAAAATATTTTTGTTCGTCGACAAGGATAAAACACAAAAGAGAAAAAAACCCAGAAAGACTAACATCCAAGACTAACGATAGAAAAAAAAAATGTGGAGGTTTTTTTTGTGTACAAAAGAAAGGAGGAAAAAAAAGGGAAAAAAAACCCAAATGTCAAAATTATCCGGGTGCTGAAAAATATATATATTAGAAAACCTAGTACATTCTCTTCCCCTTATATACAGGTAGTCCTCTACTTATGATCACAACTGAGCCAAGAATTGATGTTGCTAAGTGAGACATTTGTTGAGTTTTATTCCATTGTACGACCTTCCTTGCCTCAGTTGTTAAATGGATCACTGCCCTTGTTAAGTTAGTATCAGGGTTGTTAAGTGAAACTGACTTCCCCGTGGACTTTGCTTGTCAGAAGGTCGCAAAGAGGGACACCGCAACCATCATAAATATGAGTAAGCTGTCAAACATCTGAATGTAAATCACGTGATCATGGGGATGCTGCAAAGGTCATGAGTGAGAAAGATGGTCATAAGTCACTTTTTTCAGTGCCGTTGTAACTTCACACGGTCACTAAATAAATTTTAAGAAGAAACTGGACAGCCATTTGTCCGAAATGATGTAGGGTTTCCTGCCTGAGCAGGGGGTTGGACTAGATGACCTCCAAGGTATCTTAAAACTTTATTATTATTATTATTATTATTATTATTATTATTATTGTTGTTGTTGTTGTTGTTGTTGTTGTTGTTGTTACTACTACTACTACTACTACTACTACTACTACTACTACTACTACATTTGTAAGTTGAGGATTACCTGTGCAAAAGAAAGGGGGAAAAAAAGATTTAAAAAACCCCAATGTTGAAAATATCTGGATGCTGAAAGATTTTAAAAAAAACCTAATAGGTTCTCCTCCCCTTGCATAACAGATCTACAGATAATTACAAGCTTTCCCACCCTTATTTGACAAAAACAGCATATTAAATAAATATTCCAGCTGAGAGAACCTATCGTAATGTATATGCAGAAAAAAAAGAGAAAGAAAAAACAACAACAACAGTTAACAGGTTAGCTCAACCATTACACTAATCTTCACATCCTTCTGTTAACCATCTGTTATTGTATTATTATCTGCAATGATCTGTTTTAAATCCAAACACACTAGATAGTATATCAATGCAGCTCCACGGGCCACAATTCCACTTCAATCCATCTGCCTCCCAAGTTCTCAGATTTGAAATTTTACCTTCCAAATTCAAGGTGCCACTGGGCATTTTTGCAAATGCAAAGAATTTGCCTATACACACTTTTTTTTAATGCACTGTAAGCAACCTACACTCAAAGAGGAAGCCGCATACAAGAATATGCATAAATATTGCATTGTGTCATTTCCCTTTCTTGTGTGTCATGTATGCACTTTGTATTCTTGTTTCACATGTGAGCCTTTTAAGTCAGATGAGTAACAGAATAACAGAGCTGGAAGGGACCTTGGAGGTCTTCTAGTCCAACCCCCTGCTCAGGCAGGAAACCATTTCAGACAAATGGTTGTCCCGCTGCTCAGGCAGGAAACCATTTCAGACAAATGGTTGTCCCATCTTTTCTTAAAAACCTCCAGCGATAGAGCACCCCCAAGTTCTGGAGGCAAGTTGTTCCACTGGTTAATTGTTCTCACTGTCAAGAAATTTCTCCTTAGTTGTAGCTTGGTTCTCTCCTTGATTAATTTCCACCTGTTGCTTCTTGTCCTGCCTTCAGATGCTTTGGAGAACAGGTTGACTCCCTCTTCTTTGTGGCAGCCCCTCAAATATTGGAACACTGGTATCATGTCACCCCTAGTTCTTCTTTTCATGAGACTAGACATACTCAATTCCCGAAACCGTTCCTTATATGTTTTAGCCTACAGTCCCATTATCATTTTTGTTGCTCTTCTCTCATGCTTTCCAGAGTCTCAACATCCCTTTTTTACATCGTGGTGACCAAAACTGGATGCAGTATTCCAAGTGTGGTCTTACCAAGGCATTATAAAGTGGCATTCATGTCATTTATTGGACTCATTTTTGGATTTTCTATATGGCCTTCAATTCAAATATTGAATTCTATTACTAAGCAGAGGTTGGAAAGCCTCATTTGGAGAGCAAAAATCTCCCGGCAAATGCATTATCTTACCTATTTTTAAGGGTTAACTCATGCTTCACATTTAACAACTTGTGTAACTCGATAGAAAGACTATGTTAAAAGAGCAACAATAGGAGATAACATCCAGGAGGCCTAAGATAGAGACTGAATTTTGTTCACAATATTCAATTATTTTTAGGGATGGAGGCTTATGATGGAAATGTAAACTGATTTTGGAGTTATTCACAGATGGATAATGGAATATTAGATAGATGTCACCCAACTCAACAGAGTTAATGGTCTGCAAGTCAGATTGAGAAAGCCAGTGAACCAAGTCTACTTCCTCCATATTGAAAAAGAGCACAGCAACCTTTTCAAGAAGTTACACAGAAACACTTAATTGTGACTCAAGCTGGCATAATTCATTCCTTTCAAAGGGGGCTTATATAGGGCAGCTATTTGGTAAGGAGCACACTACTTAATCTCTCTCCCCCTCCCTTCCTACCTCCCTCCTTCCCTCCCTCTCTCTCTGTCTCTTTATCTAGCTAGCTATCCAGATAGTCCACAACTTACAACAGTTCATTTAGTGATCATCTGGAAAAAATAATCTATGAATGTTTTTCACACTTACAACCATTGCAGAAACCCCATGATCACGTAATCAAAATTCAGCAACTTGGGCAACTGACTTATGTTTATGATGGATACAGCCTTCCTGGGTCATGTGATCCCCTTTTGCGACCTTCTGGCAAGCAAAGTCAATGGGCAAGCCAGACTCACTTAACAACCCTGTTACTAATTTAACCACTTCAGTGATTCCCTTAACAACTGTGGCCAGAAAGGTCATAAAATGGGGCAAAACTCACTTAACAAATTGGCCCAAAGTCACCAACCGGCTTTAATGGCTAAGGTAGGATTGGAAGTCTCAGTCTGCTGATGATTGGCCCAAAGTCACCCAGCTGGCTTTATGCCCAACTCACAATCTCCCACCACTCAAAATCTCCCAATTTCTAGCCTGGTATCTTAACCACTAGACTCTTTTGGTTATATTACAAGCCAGAAAATATCAGGGAGGCTCAAGTACTTGGAGTCCATAAACAGAACGTTCCCTCTGCTTCATATCATGGCCACCAAGACAAAAAATCTGAGTGACCAGGGCCTCACTTTTTCCAGGAGAGATGCATCAAAAAGATAAACTAAATGGTGTGGTTTTCCCCACACTGAGTCCATTTCTTTCAGCTTTTCTGCTTTAGGACCCGAGTTGATTGTTCTTTGCTTTTCTTGACAAGCTAAGCTCAAAACAGCTCCATCGTTTCAATCTGCAAGACCTCAGTGTCTTTGGCAACTGCTGCAGGAGCAACACGACAATGACAAGCTCAAAATTGGTCATCCTTACACCAAACTCTAACAACTCAAAGTCCCTTTATACCTCTGTACTCCTGCACACGCACGTACACGCACACTATGAGAGCACAGTCGTAACAAACAGTTCCGCTTGTGATACCATGGTAACAAGGAAAAAAACAAGCAAAGGAACACAAGTGGCATTTGGGGGTTTAAAAATAAAAAGGCAGAAAAGCTTTTGCCACTGTGGCTTTTTTCTGGGGGAAAAATGAGGGAAAAAAAAAAAAACCCAACATCCACTCTGTTGAAGATGACACTCTGTGGAAAAAGGTGGGCAGAAAATGTAACTCAACTGATTTATCATATAGGACTTTCTTTTTTTAGTTTTGCAGAAAATTGACTAGGAACGACAATCGTAAGTTAACACTGTGGCTCTCACAATGAGCAACGGAGTGAAAGTGAAGAAATAATCATCTCTGGCTTTGCTATCATTTTGAACAATGGGCAGGAATATATTTAGAAGAGCTCAACAAGTTTGTTGAAACTTCTCCATCGTTTAAGGTTAAGAAAGATTCTCTGATTGCTTTGTAGACTTCGGATTAACTCTCCCTCCTGGTCTTGCCTTTTTGGAAGTTTCATCACATTTGAAATTCCCCACTGCAAAAAACAAAACAAAAAAAAAACAAACCTGTGAAATACTGGCAGGGAAAGCCAACTGGTAGTTCTCTTTAAAATCACATTCTTGTTTCTGAGTTTAAATGAAGAGTTGGCAGATTTTTAGGGCAAGGATAATCCCTGAAGCCTTTGCATTGCAGATTAAAAAGAAGAAGAAGCTAGACTTAGACAGGTGCAAACAAATGACAATCCAAGTAACAAAGCCATGTTCGGAAACAAATGTGGGCAACATCATTGTGTGATTCTGAGTCAGGTTCAGTTCTCCTATAGATATTCAGCATTGAAAACTCATGAAAGCAGCCTGTTCAACTGTCCCTTTGTCAGGGGAGAAATCATTGTGTGATTCTGAGTCACCTTCAGTCCTCCTATAGACCAGGGATCCCCAACCTCTGGTCTGTGGACCAATACCAGTCCGTGGCATGCCAGCAATCGGTCTGCACAAACAAGCAAAACCCCACCCACAAGATGCAGTCAGCACACAAAACCTCACATCCTCTGGTCCATGGAAAAACCTTTCTCCACAGAACCGGTCCCTGGTGCTCAAAAGGTTGGGGACCTCTGCTATATACATTCGGCATTGAAAACTCATGAAAGCAGCCCTTTCAACATTCCCTTTGTCAGGAGAGAAATCATTGTGTGATTCTTAGTCACGTTCAGTTCTCCTATAGACATTCGGCATTGAAAACTCATGAAAGCAGCCCTTTCAAACTGTCCCTTTGTCAGGGGAGAGATTTAAAGCCACACTCAAAATTGGTCACAAGATCCCCTTTTCCTTCTGAACGTTGTCAGTGAAAGTTGCAAATCAAGATTCTGCTAAGTTGATCCTCAGTTTACAACCAGGATTGGGACCAGAATTTCTGTTGCTAAGAAAGGTGGTGGTTGTGAAGTGAGTTGCACCCAATTTTATGACTTTCTCCCCCCACGGTTGCTAAGCAAATCACTGAAATTGCTAAGTGAATCACTGGAAGCTGCCTGGGAAGATCTCAAGTGGTGATCACATGACCTGGGATGCTGCAAACCATTATAAATATAAACTAGTCACCGTGCATCTGAATTTTGATCACACTTCTATGGGGATCCTGCAACGGTCATAGGAGTGAGGACCAGCTGTAAGTCACTTTTTTCCCTCTGTTATTGAACCTTGAATGGCTGTTAAGTCAAGGATTACCTATAACAAATCGTTAATCCAGTCTTAGAGGTTCCGCCAAATAATTTCTCAAGCCTCTTTTCCTATCTCTGTACAGGATAGCAGAATCAGATATTTCTTAGGGAAAGGTAAAACATACCCACCCCTAAGAGGTATTCTTTCCCAAGATGTTCTTCCCTTTTATGCAAATTACTTCTACTCCAGGAAGTTGGGCTGAGGGAGATGGATTGTTTCAACCCAGCAGGACACAAAAGAAACGGATAATATTAATCAGGCTTGGCAAAGGAGCAGAGCAAAACCTCCCTTTGATTGCTAAATTAAATTGTGCTTCTTCCCACCCAGGAAAGGGTAAAAAATCTACAGGAATAGCTAGGTTTCTTGAAATCCTGGCCAAGATTGCTACACTTTCCCTGAAGATCTTCAGAACGTTTTCACTATCGGTCTAGCCTTGGGAAAAGTTCTCATGATTACATCTTTGTGCACTTCCTACCATTTGGTGACAAAGATGTACACTTTGCCACTTTTAGGCAGACATTGGAGCGCTGATGTGCAATGGTGAGGTAGACGCTTTCCGATAACACCTTGACACCAACTACAATCTTCATACTGATGGCAAACCATAAAAACCTGCTTGGCTGCTAAGCTCACTCTTGTTCTGCATTTGCACAATGCACTGATCCATAAAGTAACCAACTGGTTGCACAAGCCTAATGCCCAAAATGGAAAAAAAAATGAACTTCAATATTTATTAAAGTTCAGTAGAGCATAGGTAGCTATTTGGTTCTTAACTGACCTGGTTACATGCATTTAATTCTAAGGCAGTGGACTCCAAACTTGGCAGCTTTAAGACTTGTGGACCAACTCCCAGAATTCCCCAGCTGGCTGGTTGGGGAATTCTGGGAGTTGAAGTCCACAAGTCTTAAAAGTTGCCAAGTTTGGAGAGCCCTTTTCTAAGGTGTGTCTCAAAGATGCTTGATCATATGGTGTAAACCTAGCGTCCAGTTTTGGTCACCGCGATGTAAAAAAGATGTTGAGACTCTGGAAAGAGTACAGAGAAGAGCAACAAAGATGATTAGGGGACTGGAGGCTAAAGCATATAAGGAACGGCTGCTGAAATTGGGCATGTCTAGTTTAATGAAGAGAAGGACAAGGGGGGACATGATAGCAGTGTTCCAATATCTCAGGGGCTGCCACAAAGAAGAGGGAGTCAAGCTATTCTCCAAGGCGTCTGAAGGCAGGACAAGAAGCAACGGATGGAAACTGATCAAGGAGAGAAGCAACCTAGAATTAAGGAGAAACTTCCTAACAGCTAGAACAATTAACCAGTGGAACAACCTGCCTCCAGAAGCGGTGAATGCTCCAACACTGGAAGTTTTAAAGAAGAAACTGGACAGCCATTTGTCCGAAATGGTATAGGGTTACCTGCCTGAGCAGGGGGTTGGACTTGATGACCTCCAAGGTCCCTTCCAACTTTATCATCATCATCATCATCATCATCATCATCATCATCATCATCATCATCATTATATACAAATATCTAGGAATTTGCATTTGTATTGTGGGGGAAAAAGTTTCTTTCTGGGCTGTACTTAAGAATAAGAAAATTTCTGAGCTAGGGCCCAGAGGACAAAGCAAGGGAGGAAAAGAGGGAGAAAAAATAGGCCTCATTTCTGTGTCCTTTTTGTCACCATTGTTACTCCCAAATCAGAGAACAAAGAACAGCATTTTTCATGAGTCCTCTTGGGAATAATAATGTCGCCTGATGATGTTGTGTCACTTTCAGATGGCACTGGGGAAAAAAAATAAAAATAAAACTTTTTCTAAAGGTTCAACAGCTGACAGCTGGCAGGAACATCTCTAGAATAACCAGAACATTTTCAAATATTTCCTACCATCTTGTTAACTATCTAGAAGCACACGGGTGGGGTTTTTTTTTTTAAAAAAAAGAAAGAAAGAAAAAAGAAAAAAGAAATGGACCAAAAGGTGACCCTTAAATTTTATAAATCCATAAATGTGATTATACACGCGATGGATTCTGGCACATCATGTTCTAATCTAAAAAACAAAAAACCAAGCCTGGGACTGAACGTGGCATCTCATACGCTTCTCTTCCTGAATGCCTGTGACAGATAACTTGTCAACTATCACATTTCTCCATTATTGCCTTTGTGCTGGGAACGCGATACCATTACGCTGACAGAAAAATAACAGCAGACATTAAATGTGCAACAGTGGGCTCCTGCACTGCAAAGATGGGCTTCACATATATGTGTCCTAATCTTTCGTGATGCCAGATTCGAGGAAATTGATTTCCAGATTAAAACAAACAAAAACAGTCGGCAATATTTGGAGCAGAGCCCTGTGAGTTTCAGCAGTCTGGCTGACAAATCCTTGCCTTCGTGGGGCTACTGTCGTCCTGCGATAATCAAACATCTTGGAAAACTGGACTGCCTTGTGGATTTAAAAGGGGGGGGGGGAGAGAGAGAAGGAATGATATCATCTTGAGAAAGGGAAGGGCTCTAACTTAGTCTTTCATATATCTGTTTGGTAAACTCATAGTAAGGTAAAGGTTCCCCTGTCAGCCGTGTCCGACTCATGGGCGTGGTGTTCATCGCCGTTTCTTGGCCAAGGGAGCCAGTGTTGTATGAAGACAATTTCCATCATCATGTGGCAAAAATGACTCTATACCAAGGTGCATGGAACGCTGTTACCTTCCCAGAGAAGTGGTACCTATTTATCTACTTGCACTTGCATGCTTTAGAACTGCTCGGTGGACAGGAGCTGGGCTAAGGAACAGGAGCTCACCCCATCACGTGGCGCTTGGGTCTTGAGCTCGGGCTGCCAGCTGACAAGCTTAGCCTCCTGAATCACTGAGCCATCGTGCCTCTCAAATTCATAGTGTCTTCCCCTAATTTCCTCCTTTTCTCCCTGACTTCGCTGGCTATCTCAACATACCTCTAAATTTTGTCCTTTTAACAGAGACACACAAAATCCAGATGAAGCTGTAAAGACTACTGTCAGTTTTGCTTTGGCAGAAGCTGGCCTCAAGCTGATGTGTCTGAGAAGCACGGCTGACCCTCAGGAACTGCCAAAACCTTGAGCTTCCCAGCAAGAAAAATGAATAGTTGTATGTTGCTCAGAGTTGCTTTCTGTGAGATGGGAGGCCATAAAGGTTTGATAAATAAATGCAAAAGATGAAAAAAGAAGAGAAGAGGTGTGTGTGTGAGAGAGAGAGACAGAGAGATAGAAGGAGGGAGGGTGGGAGGGAGAGGGAGAGAGAGAGAGGGAGGAGAGGAGAGGAGAGGAGAGGAGAAAGAAAAATTCAAGATGACCCTACCTTGATTCTCTTATATATAAGAGGGGCAGAGAAGCACTCTGCTGGATTTCAAGATTCTGTTATGATATTCTATAATAAAATAGTTTCAATGCTTTGTGTTGGCTTAGCAATAGGATGGTAAAAGCCTGAGCTAGTGTCTATCCTTAATATATCGTGTATCCCATTTTTTCCCCTCTGGAAAGTTCAGTGTGTTTATATCCTATCTTTTCTCTTGAAAGCACAAAACGGTAAATATACAATCGTCATTTTATCTCTACAACCACCTTGGAAGGTAAGCTGGGCTGAGAGAGGCAGTGAGTTCCTGAATACATTGTAGAAAGAGAGCGAGGTTAGTCTACAACAGCCCAAAATTGGTAGCACCATGTCGCATTCTAGTCAAAGACATATGCTTTCATGAGCTATGGCTTACTCCACTCTACTCCATGTATAGCACAAAGTAAGCTGGAGCTCACAAAATTGTGTGTCTTGTTATTCAATCTGTACAGGTGCTACTAGACTTTTGAATTTTGATTGACCAATGAACTCTCTGGTCATTTGGGGACTTCAACCTGAGTCTCCCTGGATGAAATCCAGCCCTTTAACCCTGAAATCAAGCACTAATTTAACATATCATTATACACTGTGGCTTTCACCCAGTATGCACCAGTTTAACCTATAATGTTTCAAGGCCAGTGCCGATAAATGCCTATGTTCCGTTGTCCTCTCAGACACAACGGTCACCCCCTTTCCCATTACTTTCTCAGTTGTCAATGTTTCAGTGAGTCCTGAACTCTCTCAATTATGAGCCATTCCCCTAAATAAATTCTATGTCTGTTTTGTGTAGTTGACACTAATGGCCTGCAAATAAAGTCATTGCATCTCTTTCAATAACTGCAGAGACCGGAGGGAGGGGGGGCAGCGAAAAGAAACCGCATTTAACTAGGCGCAAAGCTCAGGCAGGGCCACGCTCAACCGCTGCGATCAGATGTGAGGCACTCAGCTTAAATATATAATGGGAAATCATCATAACCGAGTGGGTATTTTTATTTTATTTTTTATTTTTTTAAGTCCTAAATGGATTTTTTCAGAGAGCAAGGATGGCACAAAATGCTGGGGGTCAGGTTGGGCAAGTAATTGCAGAGCGGCGGAGTTGATAGCACTGAAGAGGAACAGAATGTAGTGGTGCCGTTCAGAGTATGCAGTGCGAGGTGGCACAGCAGTTGCCACAAGGCAAGGGGCACAGATTTTTTTTTAAAACAAAAGAAGAATTCTACACTCATAATAAAAAAAGGGGGGAAAACAACCTTCGGAAGAACTGTGTTTCGTCAAAGTGCAAAACCAATTGCATTCTTTCGTTGCCAAGCTTGCTTAGGTTAGTATTTTGAGAGGTACGGGAATCTGTGTTTATTTATTAAACATATTTCTCCGCAAGCAGAATGATTCCGGTCAGCTCACACAGAATTTTTCAAAGAGAAGACAGTAATCAACAGCTTGTTCTAGGAACTACCAAAGTCATTCTCACCAACACTGACAGGGCAAGCCACTTGTATATATAAACAGAAACTCTGCTGCCTTCTAGCATTGATGATGTTACCTAGTTGGGTAATGAAATGTCTACAAGAAAACAATCTAGCGCAGAGAGCACCAAGGATATCACAGTCCTCCTCCTCCTCCTCCTCCTCCACCACCACCACCACCACCACCACCACCACCACACCTCTAACCCCACTTCCTTCTAGCACTGATGATGGGTAACGAAACGTGTGCAAGAAAACAACCAAGCTCAGAGAGCACCAAGGACCCCAAGAGACAAGTTATCTTGAAGTGATTCCTTTTCACAATTAAAGACCCGGAGAAGAATTCCACCATGAGTTGGTGGGATGCAGGGAGTGTCAGATTTAGAATGGGCAATGGCCAACTTGCCCAACCAGAGTCTAGTAGGTGTTCATCAGAATCTGCCCTGTATTGAAAAATACGTCTTCTCATAGATACCCAACTTCATTGCCACGACAGACTCAAAAAAAAAGGAGAAAAGCAAAAGAAAAATAAAACACACTCCAATGTGATAGAAGATTTCTTCATCTGTAGAAACTGGATAAAGCAAAATTCTCTTAGTCCCTAAAAGAACTCTGTTTGCTTGTCTGCCTCAAAACACTAGCAAAATCTTAGCTGGCTACAGAATTGATTAAAAACAAAACTCTGCTGCTTTGGGTCCCATATTCATTCCGTCATCTCTTCAGGGGCCCTGCTGCCTGGCTGAGTTCACTTTTTAATCCACTTATTTTAGATTTATATCTCTGGGATTCTTGGAGGATAGCGGGAAAACGTCCCTCACATTATGCATGTATGAATATCCGAGGAGGGACCCATTTAGGGAGCTGGGTCCAAGTTGCTCCATTATCTCTTATCACACCTGCAGTCGAAACTCACTGGCATATGTGTACCAGGAGAGCAGTAGCATCAACTGAGCAAACAAGGGATTTATTACAGAAATCAGCAGGGTTTGCATACCAATCTCTGGTATCAGAAGAGCAAAGGGATGCGGGGAGATGAGATGCAACACCAAAATCAGGTTAACATATGGCTGAGTGCCAGGTACATTCGTTCTTTCAGGTCCCTCCTGTTTGATTTCCTGCCCCATACCACCTCCTGGGCACGTCCGATTAGGACTGGTAATATTTATCCTATGTATCCAACACCTGAGCTCCTCCCTAGTCAATGTTGATTAGGTTTCTTCCTCTTCCCTCCTGACTTCCAAATATTTAAAAACATCAGTTAAATCGAGCTCACCTTGATACCACTGAGAGGATGGTGTTTACCTGAGGTGCAATGTTTGAAAGGGTTAGGATGAAAACTGCTGCAGAATTGAACTTTGAAGGAACTCCTAATCATTCTTTGGAGGGGGAAAAAAAACCCAAACAAGCAAATGACCCTGAGCAAGTTTCTCACTGGGGTTATCACCACCATTCTCGCTTGGAGAATAGAAATGAGGCGTCTTAGTCAAGGGCCACCATTTTGGAATCTCCTTTGGGTTTTTTTCCCTTAAAATTCAAGATAGATAGATAGATAGATAGATAGATAGATAGATAGATAGATAGATAGATAGATAGATAGATAGATAGATAGATAGATAGATAGATAGATAGATAGATATAGATCTATCTACCTATCTATCTATCTATCTATCTATCTATCTATCTATCTATCTATCTATCTATCTATCCATCCCTACCTACCTACCTATCTCTCTCTCTCTCTCTCTCTCTCTCTCTCTCTCTCTCTCTCTCTCTCTCTCTNCTGGCTACAGAATTGATTAAAAACAAAACTCTGCTGCTTTGGGTCCCATATTCATTCCGTCATCTCTTCAGGGGCCCTGCTGCCTGGCTGAGTTCACTTTTTAATCCACTTATTTTAGATTTATATCTCTGGGATTCTTGGAGGATAGCGGGAAAACGTCCCTCACATTATGCATGTATGAATATCCGAGGAGGGACCCGTTTAGGGAGCTGGGTCCAAGTTGCTCCATTATCTCTTATCACACCTGCAGTCGAAACTCACTGGCATATGTGTACCAGGAGAGCAGTAGCATCAACTGAGCAAACAAGGGATTTATTACAGAAATCAGCAGGGTTTGCATACCAATCTCTGGTATCAGAAGAGCAAAGGGATGTGGGGAGATGAGATGCAACACCAAAATCAGGTTAACATATGGCTGAGTGCCAGGTATATTCATTCTTTCAGGTCCCTCCTGTTTGATTTCCTGCCCCATACCAGCTCCTGGGCACGTCCGATTAGGACTGGTAATATTTATCCTATGTATCCAACACCTGAGCTCCTCCTTAGTCAATGTTGATTAGGTTTCTTCCTCTTCCCTCCTGACTTCCAAATATTTGAAAACATCAGTTAAATCAAGCTCACCTTGATACCACCGAGAGGATGGTGTTTACCTGAGGTGCAACGTTTGAAAAGGTTAGGACGAAAACTGCTGCAGAATTGAACTTTGAAGGAACTCCTAATCATTCTTTGGAGGGGAAAAAAAACCCCAAACAAGCAAATGACCCTGAGCAAGTTTCTCACTGGGGTTATCACCACCATTCTCGCTTGGAGAATAGAAATGAGGCGTCTTAGTCAAGGGCCGCCATTTTGGAATCTCCTTTGGTTTTTTCCCCTTAAAATGATAGATGATAGATAGATAGATAGATAGATAGATAGATAGATAGATAGATAGATAGATAGATAGATAGATCTATCTATCTAATCTAGAGAGCTTGAATTTTAAGGGAAAAAAACCAAAGG